TGGTAGTTTAACATTTTCATTTTTCCAAAATAGTTCCACTTCAAATATATTTCCTTTTCTTTTTAAAGTTTTGTCAATAATTTCTAAACATTTTTTATCATCAAGGGAGATCGGATTATCCTTTACAGTAGTCAGTTCATTTTCTAAATTCCAGTATGATTTGACTAGATCTTGTAACGAATCTATATCGTCCCTATCATTTTATGAAACATTTTTTATCATCAAGGGAGATCGGATTATCCTTTACAGTAGTCAGTTCATTTTCTAAATTCCAGTATGATTTGACTAGATCTTGTAACGAATCTATATCGTCCCTATCATTTTATGAAATAAAATTGGCCAGAATTTCTATTAGGATCAATAATTCCATGAATCACCCAGCCCAGCGATGTCTTACTGGCAACTGGGCCTGTGAATGATTCGTATTTGACTTTTCGTGTTATAATAACCGACCAATTATCTTGTCCAATTAACAATTTGGGTTGTGCCCTATAGTAAGACTGATTAACAAATGGTTTTAAAAATGTCCACTTGTCAGTCAAACTATCAACATCCAAAGACTGAACCGGGAGATTAAAACCCGAAATCGTTTTAACTTTTCTTAACCTAAGTGACTTTGATGATTGACCCTTTCCTTTGATACAGACTCCAATTACCTTTGACTCATTCTGCTCATACACCTCATTATTCGTCCACTGCATTTTCAATGGTCTAATAGGACCATCTAATCCCAATTCGTCAGCGAGATCTTGATCCAAAAGAGACACAGTGGAAGCTTCATCCAAAAGCGCAAATGTCTCGATTGTCTTTTTTGGACCAATAATCGAAATGGGTACTACCTTTAGAAGAACTTTGTGGTTATCATAATTTATGTTATAATTAATTTCTGTTTCTATCTTTGGTTCTGTAAAACCCTGAGAATTGTCACAATATTGATTTGGCAGTCTATTCTTATGTGATAATGTGTTGTGTGTTTTGGTACAATTATCAATTTGGCATGGTTTCTTTCGCTTGCAATTTTTCATTATATGATTTTTGCAAAGACATGATATACATAATCGATTTTTACTAACATGTTCCCATCGATGGTCAATATCTAATGATTTAAATTTAACGCATGTTGATACATAATGGTTAGTTTGTTTGCAAAAGTTACAATATTGAGACTTGTCCTTTTTGTCATATGTTAATTGATTTGAAACAGTCAGAGTTGTTTCTTTTGTTTTACTCTGCCCAAACCCTAACAGCTGCGCTGCTTTAACTTTCTTACCGAGCCATTTGTGAAAAACTATTATTTTCGGTTCATTATTTTTTGTATCTTGGTAAAATTGCATAAAGGCAAGACGCTGAGATAATGGCAGTTTTTCCAAAATGTCGTCAAACAAAAGTGGATTGCGAATATGATCCAATTCTTCAAATGTCAATAATGTATGTATCCGATTAGTAAGGGTGTCATATAAACTAATAAGCCTTTCAGTTTTATCTTCTTTTACCGGAGGGTAATTTTTGATTTGCTCAATCAAATGTCTAATAATGTGGGTTGGATCTCCAAATCTTTCTTTTAAGAAATCAATAATAACTGGTACATTACTTGGTAATAACAAAAGTGATTGAACGGATTCTTTTGCACGCCCAGATAGTTCCTTTCTCAACCGATTTATATTTTCATAGTTAGAAAACTTACAGATTTCATTGCTGTTTTGAAACTCAGAATAAATATCGGCCATTCAAGTGGATTTCCAGAAAAAAAAGGTAACTCTTGTGAAACAGTTTGTCTAGCCATGAATGTCTGCATTAAATTTGTATTACCCATATTTTCTTGGCTTTCTCCTTCATCACCATTGTCAGAAAATAATTGATTAGGCTGTCTTTTAACCCACTCTCGTGTTCTACTTGCCGCTTGCTCTTCGTCGTTTTCAGCATCAGGATCTTGGCTGCCATCTTGTTCGTCGTTGTCATCCTCCAGTTGCGCTATTTCGAATTGTCGCTGCATCTGATCTTGTTTCTCTTTGTAATCCAGTAACGCACGTTGTTGCATAATCTCTTGCTGCCGCCTAAAATGTTCCATTTCAATTTGTAGCTTCTGGGCCCTCGTTGACTTTTGTGTAGCATACAACGTATAGATATGATGAGCAGATGGTAACCTAGACGGGAGGAGACTTACGCGCTGGCTTCGGCTTTTGTCTCTGGTCGGCGGGGTGTGGGTTTAAGGACAAAGTACCTCCAATTTAGGGCTCATGAGATATAAGAATTTAGTTACTTCGCGTACGAGTTGGGAAAAGGGAACAGGAGAAGGGAGTCGGGTGATCAAAGGGAGAAGGTCAGCAGAGGTAGAAGGGGTCCACCTATAGTCGGGGCCTTGTTGGCTGCTTGCCGCAACAGTGCGAGCACACCCACCCTACCATGATCCTTACGGGCCACATATTTAAGGATCCCTCCAACAAGACCGACGGGGAATCACCTATCTATTAACAAACGCGACATGGTCCCTTCCGAAAATACTCTACTCTTTCTTCATACTAAAACAATATTTATTCATACAATTCATTAAGTTGGCGGACACTAAATACTAAAGAATAACCTAACTCCCGAAACTTAAAAAAATCATGATATACAATTAGGTAATAATATAATACAAAAATATAAATAAGGTATTGTAACGAACCGGTTTTGTCCGCCTTGTGTGCGCTTGGCGTACTCAGCGGCCGGTGGGTTCGCTGCAACGAATTTGGGTGTTGCCCGGGGGACAAAGCAGAAAGACTTGGTTGGCTTCTTTATACACGAGTTCTTTATTGGTATCTTAGGAAGTACGCTTAAGGACGACAACTTAGCCTATTCTTTGGTTTAGCACTATGATCACTGTCACGTTTGGTCCTTCTCGCCCACTCGCCGTTCCTCGGAATCCCCAAGCGTGGCACTGTCGGCTCTGAGAACTGGTACGACAACGACTCCTAGCGTTAAGCCCAAGTCCGCCGCACGCAGTTCGCACACGACACGTTCGCTCTCACTGGATCCTTCCGTTGGGCGAGCGGTACACAAGGTCCTTTCTCTTGACGCTTTTTGGGTAACTTTCTGACTCTCCTTGATATTCGCTGTCACACGCACTTGCACTCTCCGCACTTGACTGTCTCGAGCCGCTGTCGCGCGCCTCCTTTTATTTCCTCCTTGGCGCACGGCCGCATCGCTGCTGCCTGGCAACAACGGGACTTTCCTCCAGTCGTCGGCGGTATTTTCCATCGGCTCGTCTGATGCTCTCCACCAGCTTCGTAACGGGACCCAACCGGTGGCGTGATCGCATGGCCATAAATGGTCATGCGCTGGACCACTGCCGGCCCGATCTCACTATCCCGCCTCTCTTCTGCCTTCCACTTGCTTCGCAACGCGACCCCGCTGGTGGCGTGATCGCATGCCCATAAAAGGTCATGCGCTGGACCACTGCCGGCCTGATCCCACTATCCCGCCTCTCTTCCGCGCTCATTTACTCTCCCTGGTAGCGCCCTCCGATCGCGGCTCTCTCCGTTGCCCCTCCCTTGAGCGAGACTCTCCCCGGCAATTCGCCGTTATCCGGTTATCCGGACACCCGGATAGACCTTAAGCCCTTAGGGTCCACGCGTGTGAGGATATCATTCCTCACACTTCCCCCTTTCTTTCCCAACGGAAAACTCCCTTCGGCGGACCTCTTGTAAACCCGGCCGTTAACTTCTACCTTCAAACGGCCGCCCGCGCCTTTAAACCGTGCGTGTTCTGGCGCCCTCTGCCGGCCCAGGCGCGTTCTGGCGCCCTCTGATGGACCGGGCGCGTTCTGACGCCTCCTGCCGGGCTTACCTGATGGGGTGCTGCCGGATCGGTGAAATGCGCACGCGCGTGCGACTATCACAGGGCTGCATATAGGCCATCGATATGATGTAGGGATGGTTTTCTGTCCTACTCGATATCACTCTCTTGGCCGCGTGCGTACTCCACTTCCGTAACGAGGAATTGTTAATGGACGATGGTAAGTGCCTTTACACTCTTCTACATCGACCATCTCTCTCACTTCCCATCCTTTAGACACCTGCACGGATCGCTTGCCTTCCCCTGCGCATTGACCACCGTGCGGTATCGGCAGCCCCATTCATCTCGGCCGTGGCTTGTCGGCCTCTGCCGCCGCTCTGCCACGTCTCGCGGTGGCCTCCCCTCCTTCCCCGTAAGTCTGCTTTCCGTTTGTGTTTTCCTTTTATTTTCTTTTTATTCTTACTCTCTCTACTATGTTTTCACCGAGCCCCCGATTCTCGGTAGACCTCCTGGTGGTCCCGGGACACCGTTACCCGGTACCGGACCCCTCCGTCGTTCACCAGCCGCTTGATGCGCCTCGAGGTGAACCTCGTTCGAGCCAGGACGCGCTCCACCGCCCCTGGCCACTCCTCCCGTCTTACGGGCCGCCAGCGTGGGCCCTCCGCCCCTAGCTGTGCCTGCGGCCACGACGCCTGGCGCTGCATGGGCCCCCGCGGTCTCTCTCGCTCCTCCGGACAGGACACCTGCCGCTCCGGCTTGGATTGGCACGCCTGGCTTCCGGCGCGGGCCACTGCCACGGACCCCGCTCCCATGGCTCAGGTGAGCATACTCCCGCCGCGCTCGCGGCTGGCTCCGCTACCGCCTTCGCTGCCGTCGTCGCTGCGCTTGCCGTCGCTGGCTCCGCTGCCACCACCGTCTCTGCCGCTGCGCTCGCCGTTGCTGGCTCCGCTGCCGCTGCCGCCTCTGCCGCCGCCGCCTCTGCCGCCGTCGCCTCTGCCGCCGCCGCTGCTGGTTCCGCTGCCGTCGCCGACTCTGCCGTCGCGCTTGGCGTCGCTGGTTCCGCTGCCGCCGCCGACTCTGCCGCCGCCTTCGCCTCTGCCGGTTCCACCGTGGGCTCCGCTGCCGCCGTGGACTTTGCCGTCGCGTTTTGTGTTGCTGGTTCCGCTGCTGGTTCCACCGGCCGCTGCTGGTTCCGCTGGGCTGTGGGCCGCTGTGGGCTCCGCTGCCGCCGTGGACTTTGCCGTCGCGTTTTGTGTTGCTGGTTCCGCTGCTGGTTCCACCGGCCGCTGCTGGTTCCGCTGGGCTGTGGGCCGCTGTGGGCTCCGCTGCCGCCGTGGACTTTGCCGTCGCGTTTTGTGTTGCTGGTTCCGCTGCTGGTTCCACCGGCCGCTGCTGGTTCCGCTGCCGTCGCCGACTCTGCCGTCGCGCTTGGCGTCGCTGGTTCCGCTGCCGCCGCCGACTCTGCCGCCGCCTTCGCCTCTGCCGGTTCCACCGTGGGCTCCGCTGCCGCCGCCGACTCTGCCGTCGCGCTCGCCGCTGCCGGTTCCGCTGCTGGCTCCACTGCTGGCTCCGCTGCCGCCGACCGTCCCCTTGGGTCGCGGCCATTGCTTCGTCGGGCCGGCGTCTCCTCCCACACCCGCGCTTCTTCCGGAGCCTCCGGCTCCCTAGGTGCCGGGCCCGATGCCCAGGTGATGTGGAGGATTTGGTGGTGCCACACCATTCCTCCCCGCACCGCCGTACGTACCTCCTGCGTTACGTACGGCCCGATCACCGCGCCTTGTGGTCCCTGCCACTGGTGTTGCTGCTGCTGCCACGAGGCGTCCGCTCCCGGCCGCTGTTGATGGGACGAGGCTTGGGGCCCCCGTCCTCCTTCGGGGAACTTCGCCTCTTCCTCGGTCCGCGGTCGTCGCTGCCACAGCTCCTCCTCCTCCTCGTCCGGCTCGGCCTGGCCACGGTCTTCGGGCTCTGGGGTCGTAGGGGAAGGCTGCCACAGGCCCTCCTCCTCCTCTTCCGCCCGACGTAGTCGCTCCTGCCACTCTTCTTCTGCCGTGGCCGGGCCTCGGCTCTCGGGCCCCGGCGTCGGAGGCAACGGCTGCCACCGACCCTCCTCCTCCTCTGCGCCCCGCCTTGCCTCTTCCTCGCGGCTCTTCTCCTCGGCCCTCCGCCGCTCCTTCTCTCGCAACTCGGCCGCCACCTTTTCCAGCACACACGTCCGGTGGTGCTCCTCCGCCTCCCGCCGGGCCTTTTCCTTGGCCTCCTCGGCCGCTTGCTCCGCCTCCTGCGTGGCCTTCAGACTCTTCGCCAGCGCCCGCGCGTCCTCCCAGACCTGCAGCTGTCGCAGCGCCTCCTTTGCTGCTTCCAGCGCGATCCGCCGCCGCCACTCCGCGACCCGCTTCTCCTCGGCTTCCCGTTCCTCGGCGTCTGTCGGTGGCCGCCTCACCGTCGGTCGCTCCTCCGCCTCTGCTGAGGGCCGCTTCGCTGGCCGCTTCGCCTCGGCTTCCCGCTCCCCGGCGTCTGTCGGTGGCCGCCTCACCGTCGGTCGCTCCTCCGCCTCTGTTGAGGGCCGCTTCGCTGGCCGCTTCGCCACTGGTCGAGCCTTCTTGGGGGCTGGCTCCCAGCTTGTCATTACCACGTCGCTGTCGGATTCGCTGGCCCCAGAAGACACCAGCGGCGATACTGTGGCTCCCACTGACCCTTCCGACGGGATCAGTGGGGACGCAAGGAGCTGCAGCTCAGGGGACGCCTCCCTCCGTTGCCCTTCGCCATCCTGCGAGAGCCGATTCGCTCGTCGCTGGCTCCGGGACAACGAGGCATAATATCCCCGTCGCATCAAGCTCCGTTGCTCCGCCAAGTATCTCGCCATGTGCTGCCTCATCTTAACCTTTTTTTTTTTTTTTCCCCCTGACACGTGTGCAAAAAGAGCCGAGTGACGGACGCGCTCCCCTTTTTATATTCCTGGGGTCCGTGTCCATCGTTCCGCCTAACGGGGCTTTGCCTGAGCCTCTCACTTCGCTCTCTCTCTCATAATTCTGAGTCTTTCTTTCTTCACCAATGAGAGACGGCCAAGTACCGTTTATCCAATCTATTCGCCGCGTTAACCCTACACAGCCGTCTCGGGGTCGTTAGGAACACTTGTCTCTGATAAGTCCACCTCTCCTTTTTTTTTTTGTGCAAAAAGCCGAGTGACTCACGACTTTGTTTTAGGTTTTTTTTTTCCTTCCTTTTTTTCCCGGCCATAGCGTGGTTCGATCACTACACCGAGTGGATTCGCTTTTGTACACGGTAACTATCCAGCTTCCTGGGATCCCACATCTCATTTTCCTCTCTTTCCAGCCCGACCCCAGACTCACCCCAGGATGCTGACCATCATTCCCACCCGCGAACAACAGGCCCTCCGGCCTTTCGCCCGGGTTGCCGAATGACGGCCCGCCACCCGGTCGGCTTCTTCCGTCTTCGGATCGATCGCACTCCGGACGTCCCCCACTACAGCAGCTCGGACCCGAGGATCATCCGATTCCCCGCCCGGCAGACTGCGTACGGGCGGCATCCGATCTGATCGTTCCCGACGCTCGAAAACCGCCCCTGGTGTCCTGGAGTGGATCCGGATCTTGGCCCCTCCTCGGACCCCCATCTGGGATCACCGTGTACTCCGACGCATCTCACCTTCCGTATCCGCGATTCCACACCTGTCGGGTATCATTGACCTTTCTTTTTTTTTTTCCTTCCTTCCGATGTTAACGTTCATCTCTTCCAGATATCTTCACGCTCGATCGTGCCATTCGCCGCGGCCTCGGCTCCTCCCTTTTTTCAGTTTCGCCGTTGTGTAGAACTTCTTTAGGGGTATGCCTTATGTCCCCTCCTCCCTCGGTTGCGGTTTCAGATCGCTAATATGGGCTGTCCTCATCCGATTATCCTCGGCGCTCTTCAGTCGGCAGATGACGGGTGACACGAAATCCGTTATCGTGTACGGACCCGCATATTTCGGCGCCAGTTTTGCTGCAAACCCCTCAGCCGCCTTTGATAAATGGTGTTGTTTCGCCCATACCACCTCTCCGATCTTCGGCTTCCAGGGCCTTCTCCTTAGATTGTAGAACCTCGCCTGGTCCTGCGCTGCCCTTTCCAGGTTCCGCCTCACCAACTGAAACACTTCTCTCAGCTTGCTTGCGTTCTCGTCCGGCGTGAGCGTGCCCTGGCCGGTCCCTATTGTTTCCTCATCGAATAGGGCTTTTGGCAGACGTGGTTCCCGGCCTTGGACAATAAACGCAGGAGAGTACCCTGTTGAGTCGGACACGCCCGAGTTCACTGCCAACATGAGTTCTGGCCACTTCTCGTCCCAGCATCTTTGGTCCCCCTCGCAGAATTGCGCGATCATGGTTTTTACCGTCCTGTTCGTGCGTTCCGTGGGATTCTCCTGGGGCGTATAGGGTGCCGTGAACTGGTGTCTGACCCCCATCTGCTCTAGAAACTTTTTGAAAATCCGGCTCGTAAACTGGACTCCGTTGTCCGTAATTATCACCTTCGGCACTCCGAATCGCGCCACTATGCGTTCTCGTACCGCTTTTGTGAGTGTCTCAGCCGTGGCCTTCCTTAGTAGCACTAACTCTGTCCACTTCGAGAACCTGTCCACCAGCACCAGCAGCATTGAATTCCCGTGCTTACACCTGGGCAGTGGTCCCACGAAATCCGCACACACCGTCACCCAGGGTTCCTCGGGCACCTGGGTCAGCATCTTTCCGGCGGCTTGTTGTTAATTTGGTTTGAACCTTAAACATGCTTCGCACTTCCTCACGTAGGCCCTCACGTCTCTATGCATCCCGGGCCAGTAATAGCGTCCCGCTACGCGCGCCATGGTCTTCCTTCCTCCGGAATGTCCCGCCTCCGGTGTGTCGTGGTTTTCCTTGATGACTCTATCCCGTAGGTCTCTCGGGACACACATCTTCCAGGCCGCGACTTCCTCGTCTCCGGCTCTGTGGGGAATGTGCCTATACACCTTCCCCGCTTCCTCCACGAAGTCGGGGAACTTCTCGGGTTCTTTTTTGATTTGGTCCTTCACTTTCGCTATCCACGCACATGGGGCCACCGTTTTAGAGACCCCGACTGGTTCGTTGTCCACTCTCATACACCGCTCCACCAGCTTCTGCCGGGAGAGCGCATCGGCCACCACGTTGAGTTGTCCCTTTCTATACGCGATCTCGAAATCGTACTGTTGTAGTTCTAGGGCCCACCGGGCGACTCTTCCTGTTGGGCTTTCGATGCTGTTAAGCCACTTCAACGCCATATGGTCGGTGACCACCTTGAAGTGATATCCCTCTAAGTACGGTTTTAACCTCCTTATGGCCCATACAATGGCCAGGCACTCCTTTTCGGTCGCCGAGTAATTCCTCTCAGCACTATTGAGCGTTCTGCTGGCGTACGAGATGACTCGTTCTCCTCTCTCGGTCTCCTGGGTAAGGATCGTGCCCAGCCCGTAATCACTGGCATCCGTCTGCAGCACAAACTTCCTGCTGAAATTTGGACAGGCCAGCACTGGGTCTGCCACCAGTTGACCTTTTACCGCCTCAAACGCCTGCTGCTGCGCCTCTGTCCACACCCACTTCGCCTTCTTCTTCAATAGCGCGCTCAGTGGCTGTACCAATGTGGCGAAATCGGGTACGAACCTTCGATACCACGAGGCCACGCCTAGATACTGACGTAGCTCCTTGACACTGCTTGGGGGCTGTAGTTCGGCTATCGCTGCCACCTTCTCGGGATCCGTGCAGATGCCCTCCCCCGTCACCAGGTGTCCTAAGTATCGCAACTCCTGTCGGAAGAACTGGCACTTTCCGATGTTCAGCCTCAAATTTGCCTTCTTTAGACGCCTGAACACCTCCTTTAGATTCCGCTGGTGCTCTTCCTGGGTCTTTCCTATGACTATGATGTCGTCCTGATAGGCAAAGGCATGGGGCATCATTTCGGGTCCAATTACACTGTCCAGTGCGCGCTGGAATGTGGCAGATGCGGAGTGTAGTCCAAATGGCATCACCTTCCACTGGAACAGCCCTTTTCCTGGCACCGTGAAGGCGGTAATCGGTCTGCTGGCCGCTTCCAGGGGAATCTGCCAATACCCATCCTTCAGATCTAGGCTGCTGATAAAGCGAGCCTCTCTCAACTGATCCAGGATGAAGTCTATCCTTGGCATGGGGTAGGCATCCTTGACCGATTTTGCGTTAACCTGACGGAAATCGACACACAGTCTCCACTGCCCGGTTTTCTTTTTGACCATCACGATCGGCGAACTGTAGGGGGCTCCGCGATGGCTCAATGCACCCCAGCTCGATTAGCTCGTCTACCTTTTGGTCGATCTCGGCCTGCATCTTGGGATTCTTGGGGTAGTATCTTTGCTTGATGGGCTGTGCATCCCTCATTGTGATCGTGTGCACCGCCACGTTGGCCGTCCCCGTCATCTCCTTGAACTCAGCCAATTCCCGCTCGAGGAATCCTTCTACCGTTTCCTTCTCCCGCGTCTCCTCACTCGACCTTTCCTCTGGGGACTCGGTCACCCCCTCTCCGTCTGTCGAGGGCGCCGCGATGGCCTCCACTACCGCCACGGATAGCCTCTCCTCCGGCCGTCCGTCCCGTCGGCCTTTCGCAGGGATCACGTGTGCCCCGCACAGGTCACCTCTGCGCCGACTGCGGTCAGGAAGTCCCAGCCGAGGACCAACGCGTCGATCACGCCCGGTAGCACGAGCAGCGACATCCACACCTTCTTGTCTCCGAAGGCCATTTCCACTTCGAGTTGTGTATTCACCTCTTGACTGTGGCCGTCCGCCAGCCGCACGCGTTTCTTCGTCTCGTGCTCGCGTCCGACTCCCCGCAGCTGCTCCGCCAATTCACAGCTAATGAAACTGCTGGTGGCCCCGGTATCCACCGTGGCCTTCCATTCGTTTCCCGCAATCACCACCACCGCGGACAGCTGCACTTCCTCCTCGGCGAGCTCGCCGACTAGGTTGTTGGGGCCTCCTCTTGCGACCCCGGCACGGCCCTTCGTGGCTTGGGTCGCGGGGCGTTTCCCGCCCTTTTGCAGCACTGCCAGGTTAGCACGCCGACCTTGCCGCACCGCCAGCAATATGTTAGTGGGCGCCCTGAGCACGCTTGCGCCCAATGGGCGTCACTCCCGAATCCCCCTTCAACATTGGAGTCCACCTTCTCTTCGGCCTTTGGCGGCGTTGGCTTCCGCTCCGCTGACTTCGTAGTGTCGGTCACAGGCTCGTCCTTGCATCGTCGGCATACCTCCGTCCCGGCCGTCTTGTTGAATGGGTTATGGGCCTTCGCCCGACTCGTCGGGTCCTCTCGTTGGAATTCCACCCGATCCCTCTCCAGCGCTTCAAACTCATCCGCCAGGGTCATCAGCGTTTCCAGATCTTTGCATCTATGTGGTCGGATGAACATCCTTAGGCCCGGCATGCTGTTTTCTCGGATTAATTCCAACTCTTCCTCGGGTGGGCACTTCAATGGCCGGACGAGCGTCTGCATCTCCACCATATAATCCTTGAAGGATTCTCCCCACCTCTGCTTCCGCGTTCTCACCTCCTGGAGCAATTTTTCAAAATAACCCCTCGGGAGGAAGAACGCCTGGAAGCTGCGTGAGAACGCCGCCCAAGATTGCCAATGCTTATTGTTGGCGACAAACCACGTAAGTGCCCGCCCCTTCAGCAGCTCGGGCATCGCCCTGGGGATCATATCCAGTTCCAGCCCATACATGTCCGCTGACCATTCGACCTGCTCCAAAAATTCAAGGGGCTTTGCCGTCCCGTCGAATCGGAACGACCACTCTCTCACCTGTTTGGCCACGTGCGCATAGCTTGCTCGCAGCTGCCTCTTCGCTTGTTCGTCTCCCGTCGGGTGTGGGCTCCTTGACTCCCGTTGGCCTGAGGGAGCTGGGATGGCCGTCCTTTCTCGGCTTTCTGTCCGCTGCCGGCTAGGAGATCGACCCTTCTGTGGCACGGCCAGACTGGCGATGAGTTCCTCTGCGGCCTCTGCCGGTAGCTTCCACACTCCCGACTGTCCTGTTCCGCCGGGTATGGCCAAGCGTTCGTACGCTTCCTGCTTTTCCTCCGTCTGGGGCGTGGGCGTAGTTCTGCCCGCGCGTAACTCCCATTCTTCGATCAGATCTGCATATTCTGGTTCCTCTTCGTGCTTCTCCACCCAGTCTTTGAATGCCCGGCGCATCTCGGACAGCGTACCTTCCAGCTGCAGTCCAAAGGCTAAGCCACACTGAACCAGGTCCTCCTTCCTCATGGCGTGGATCCATTGTCGTCTCCCCATTTCTTCCTTTCGAACTCGGTACTGCCCTCCCTAAATCGATCTTACTTTGTCACCAGGCCCCACGTTGGGCGCCAGTTGTAACGAACCGGTTTTGTCCGCTGCAACGAATTTGGGTGTTGCCCGGGGGACAAAGCAGAAAGACTTGGTTGGCTTCTTTATACACGAGTTCTTTATTAGTATCTTAGGAAGTACGCTTAAGGACGACAACTTAGCCTATTCTTTGGTTTAGCACTATGATCACTGTCACGTTTGGTCCTTCTCGCCCACTCGCCGTTCCTCGGAATCCCCAAGCGTGGCACTGTCGGCTCTGAGAACTGGTACGACAACGACTCCTAGCGTTAAGCCCAAGTCCGCCGCACGCAGTTCGCACAGGAAACGTTCGCTCTCACTGGATCCTTCCGTTGGGCGAGCGGTACACCAGGTCCTTTCTCTTGACGCTTTTTGGGTAACTTTCTGACTCTCCTTGATATTCGCTGTCACACGCACTTGCACTCTCCGCACTTGACTGTCTCGAGCCGCTGTCGCGCGCCTCCTTTTATTTCCTCCTTGGCGCACGGCCGCATCGCTGCTGTCTGGCAACAACGGGACTTTCCTCCAGTCGTCGGCGGTATTTTCCATCGGCTCGTCTGATGCTCTCCACCAGCTTCGTAACGGGACCCAACCGGTGGCGTGATCGCATGGCCATAAATGATCATGCGCTGGACCACTGCCGGCCCGATCCCACTATCCCGCCTCTCTTCTGCCTTCCACTTGCTTCGCAACGGGACCCCGCTGGTGGCGTGATCGCATGTCCATAAAAGGTCATGCGCTGGACCACTGCCGGCCTGATCCCACTATCCCGCCTCTCTTCCGCGCTCATTTACTCTCCCTGGTAGCGCCCTCCGATCGCGGCTCTCTCCGTTGCCCCTCCCTTGAGCGAGACTCTCCCCGGCAATTCGCCGTTATCCGGTTATCCGGACACCCGGATAGACCTTAGATCCACGCGTGTGAGGATATCATTCCTCACAGTATGTGGGTAAATGGTATGTAGATTAGGTTATGTATGTAGGTATATGTGCTTATGTATATAAGGTTAGGTAATGGTAATTCAAGTAAATGGAGCGATATATAGTTGTGTAGATGAATAGATATTCAAAAGTTAAATTTACAGCAATCAAAATCATAATTGGAAAAGTATTCAACTTTAACGGCAACGAAAAAAAAAATCAAAGTGCGTTTGCACATGGACGAGCCATTAAACCGTAAGGCGGCCAATGTCGCAATCAAAATCAAACGTTACGTTACCGGTCAGTTTACCACGTTAGTCATTATATCTCCCTGAATCATTATATTTGTACAAACTTACAGTACGTTTTCCTCCCACGCAGAAAGATCTTTCGTTGTGTAGATGGCTGGATGATTGGATTAGCAGATGATTAGGTGAATGAATGGATGATCAAATGATAAGATGAGGGCTGGGTAACGACACGCATGACTGTAAAGTTTAGTTGTATTAATAACCATTTAATTGATAAATATTCAACTTAAGCCCGGTATAGGAAATCCTTTTTGACTAGATGTTAGATTTCATGGGCGTACATGTTAGCCGCAGCACAATTAAATTGAACCACCAATCGGACCAATCAAAAAGCACTTCATTATCCGGTATATAATAAGAAAGAGAAGAAAAAACACATAAAAATAAATCCACTGGGTAGGCGGCTTCAGATTAGGTTTGCCAGAGCGAACCTACAATCGACGGCGGCTTAGGCACGGGGTCAATGACCTCGAGGCGAAAAAATCGACGAAAAATGCTCCCACGCAGCGAAAGCCAGGTGCAGCTTGCTTTTTTTTTTCAGGTATCAGGTTGTACCAAGAGTTATATCAGGTTATACCAAGAGTTATATCAGGTTATACCCAGAGTTATATCAGGTTATAACCAGACATACATAACTAGGTATCACTACGTCTGTACTAGTGGTGCGATTCCTATGTATAGAAGATTACATTTTAGAACTATATATTGGAACTTCGCGGTCAAGATATTTACCCCAATGGGAACTGCACCACTTCAATTGATACAATTTCGAACTGTGGATTTTCTTTCTCCCGGTGGGCTGTCGAAAAGCAGGGACGGTAGGTGCTGCCGTGGTCTTGGGGTTATGTACACCTCGGTCTGTGGCACAAAAATTCCGAGAAAAGGCAATAAAGTAAGATCACTGCACGTCGTCGTTTTCTTAATTCACCATACTCACGGATATGGGCAGATTGTGGAGGTTGATGGAAACCAACTTATAATTGCGAACACAAAATCACTGCGCGTGGTAGCTGACTGTATATATGGTTAAAAATCAGATAGAATACAGAGCTCCAGAATACTGCACTCTGCGACGGTCACGAGGAGAAAGAGACCGACTCCTAGAACCACCGGATGCAGCAGCCCACGTTTTCCCATCAATACCGTATTTTTTCCTTGCTTTTTACTTTAAAGAAAAGTAATTAGCAATAAATATAAGTGCAATACGGAATCAAAATAAACGGGATGGCGTTGCCACTTTTTACCAAAACATATGTTTCGTCAAAAAGCTCTCTGCAAGCTCTACGATCGATGCCCCATATTTTCAACGGTCTATCTTAGGGCGGTTATGAGAAATAAACCGTTGACTTTTTAAAAGTGCTGAATGAGACACCGCAAGACAAGCGTCACATATTACACCCCCCCGCTGAAATCACACTTTGGGGTTCAACCTTCCAAAGAGTGATCCACGCTTGGAGTGCGATTGGCATATTCCCTGCTTGATATCTTTAGCGTGGTATTTGCCAATAAAGCGACCTTGAGAATCCTCCAAATCATAATAGCTGTTGCCGAGCCTTCTCCTTATTCGAGCCTTCCGGAAAGTAGGGGCTAGTTTCTGTTCAAAATTTCGCCTATATACCTCTTGTCCCACTTGGAAGTTAACTTCTCGACTTCGGAGGTTGTAAGCGTTTTCGTTTCTGACATGCTGCTTTTGCATTGCTTCCGCAGCTACTTTACGAATCAACTCAAATGAGTCGTCGCGATCAAACACTACCGCTCGATCTTCCAACATATTAAGGTTCCGTAATAGCTGGTATGTGGAACCGCTAGTAATCATATTTTGGCCAAAAGCAACTCGGTAAGGGCTACTTTTAACGGCTGCATGCACGCTGGATCGCAACGCACAAGCGATAAAACTAAGCTGCTCATCCCAATTGGATTGGTCGGGCTTAATGTATGCTTTAATAGCTGCGAGTACCGAGCGATTTACCCTCTCGGACGCATTTGTTTGTGGGGCGTATGCTGCCGTGCAGGAGTGCCGGATTTGGTATTTTCCCAACAGGTCATTGAATTTGTGTGACTTGAATTGGACACCATTATCCGAAACTACCACTTCAGGGACTCCAAAACAATGAAAAAGGTCTTCCTCCACAAAAGGGATAATTGCTTCTGCAGTAAATTTCTTTACTACTTTGAGGAAAGGAAATTTAGAAAAGTGATCTAGAACCACAAATATGCCGATGTTTCCCGATCGACTTCGAGGATACGGGCCTAAGAAATCCACATACAGTTTCTGGAAGAAACGGTCGGTCATTCTTGCTTTGCCCATTGGCGGACGAAGAGGCCGATTGGGGTGCTTACAGCATTTGCACAGCTCGCACTTATTTATGAAATCCTTTACATCGCCCACTAGGTTTGGCCAATAGTAGAATCGTCGAAAACGCTCCAACGTCTTATTGATCCCACTGTGAGACGCTAAAGGATGTTCATGACTTTCTTTAAGCACCTCTGTCACCAGAGCGTTGGGCACCCAAAGTTTCCAGCACATGTCATCTCTAATCTTATCGCCAGAGGCGTGTTCAGCGCGACGGTATAGAAAATTATCCCTGACTCTTATGTCCGGTAAACGATCGGGATTAGCTTGAATCTTCGCGATAAGTTCTTGGTACTCGGTCGATTTAAACGCGTCAGAATCAAGGTCTAACAAACTATCGATACCAATATAGGATAAGTCCTCAGTATGTACTCGTGATAAGGCGTCTGGTACGATATTCTGACTTTTTTTTTCTATGCTCAATTGTAAAAGAGATGCCTTGCAGTTTTAACGCCCATCGGGCAAGCCGTGAGCTTAAGTCGGCCTGAGACATCAGCCATTTAAGCGATACATGATCGGTTATAATGGAAAACTGATGCCCTTCCACATAGGCTCTAAATTTCTTCACGCACATTACCGCTGCCAGGCACTCTTTCTCTGTCACAGAGTAATTACGTTGGCATTGGTTTAATTTGCGTGACATAAACGCAGTGGGTACTTCATGGCCATTCTCATCCGTTTGCATTAAAACGCCACCAACACCGGTGTGGCTGGCATCACAATGGATGGAGAACGGGCTTGTAAAATCAGGGCTATGCAACACGGGAGCGTTGCACATATGTTCCTTTAAGGAATCGAATGCGGTTGGGCCTCATCTGTCCAATCAAATTTCCGTTTGCTCTTGAGAGTATCTGAGATCGGCGCTGCGATGCCCGCATAGTTCTTTATGAATTTGTGGTACCACCCAGTGAGACCTAAAAACCTGCGGACTTGTTTCACGGATCGCGGGACCGGAAACTTCTGAATTGCTTGGACCTTCTCAATGTCGGTCTGGATAGTTCCATTGCCTATAACATGACCTAAATATTTGACCTCTTTTAGGCAAAATTTGGACTTCTCCACATTGATGGTTAGACCGGCTTCTCTTAATCTGTTGGACAAGACTTTGAGGACTCGAATATGCTGGTCAAAGGTGTCCGAAATTACCAACAAGTCGTCGAGGTAGATAAATATCTCGTTCCGTAGAGATGGCGGTATCACCTTATCCATTAGCTTGGACATCGTTTGGGGCGCATTACATAATCCAAAGGGCATTACTGTGTACTGGTACAATGGACGCCCTGGGACAGTAAACGCCGTCTTTTCACGCGCGGTTACCTCCAAAGGAATTTGCCAGTAGGCATCTTTTAAGTCTATACTTGAGATAAACTCAGCTCGAGGCAGGCGACTAAGAATGCCATCGATCAGAGGCATAGGATATGCGTTCTTTACCGTAACCTCGTTAAGCTTCCGACTGTCGATGCACAATCGTACTTTCCCAGGCTTCCGAACGAGAACCACGGGCGATGACCATGCGCTATCTGACTCTTCGATTACCCCAAGCGATAACATTCGGTCTATTTCCAGATACATCAGCTTTTCTACTGCTGGAGACACGGCGTAGTGTCGTTGTTTTATGGCCTTAGCGGTGCCCACGTCAATCTCCTGAGACAACCAGCTTGTTTTTCCAAGTCCTTGCTTTGCAAAGGATGGAAACAAATTGACCGTTGCTAACAAACCTTATTGCTGCTGCTGGGACAATTGCATATGCAACGGGCTATCAAACGATACCGATGAAATCTCTGGACCGGATGACTTATGGGCTATAAACGCTGGTAACAAATCAAAACTGGACCAAAAATCTATGCCCAGATATAAGTCTTGCGCCAGGGATGGGACTATGAACAGTTTTAGGGTTTTACTTCGGCCTTGGAAGCAGACGTCTGTCGTAACTTTGCCAATTATTGATTGGCTCTGGCCGTCTGCGGTACGTACTGCTGCTCTTGCGGGCTTGAACTGGGTCGGATCCCGAGCTAGGTCGGCTGCAAATGATCCACCTATACAACTGATTGAAGCACCTGTGTCCATCAGTCCACTAAGCGTCTTCCCTAGTACGGTGACTTGCGCATAGGGTCGCCAGTCCTTAGACGTATTCACCACTGTCGCTATCACCTTTGATCGCTCGTCTTTCCAGATTTGTCGGAATTTGAGCAATCGCTTGCGAGATCGGTTCGGGAGACCAATTTTTACTGGCTCCGAGGGTAACAAAGGAGTCTGTAAAGGAATGTCTGGTAGTTTGGATACGTCAGGGAGTAATGGATCCGTTAAAACGTCCATTAGTTGGTGCTCGTGGCTTTCGAACTGACTGGTTTGCGTGCACTTGTCGGCTGTGCACGACTCCAGGAGTTTTTTGAAGCGGTAAACTTAGGGCACGACGGTTTATACGTATCCCGTTTGCCACAGCCGTAGCAAAATACAGTTCGTTCACCTACGCAGTCGTGATAGCGATGACCCTGCTCCCCACAGTTCCAACAGGAAATGGTAACTGCCGCGATATCTACCAGTTCTGTTTCCTCGTCATCCGGTTCATCTTCCTGGTCGGTCTCTACTGCAATTTCGTGCACCTGTCGTCTTATAGGAATACGTTTGGGTTCAGCACTGATAAAAGGCTTAGCTAGTGACTGCATGAACCTTTCTCGAGTGCGCACGATGTTTCGCAATTGAGCTACGGACGAAATCGGGATATATAAAATCTCATGTTGGATCTCTGCCAACAAATTCGCCTTTAGCACTTCCAACAATGCCATATCGGACATGGGAGTGACTAATTTATCGGCCAATGCTACAATGGCTTCGTAAAATAGTCAAACTGTTCGTTGGCCTTCTGTTTTCGTTGCCCTATGGCCGCACGAATTTCCAAGTCCGTACGCCCATCAATAAAACGAGTTTTTAAGGCGGTACTTAGCTGTGGCCAGTTCACGGAGGGTACGCTTTTGTGGTAGCGCCAAAACCACTCGCTAGCACTGCCTTCAAAAAGGTAAATAGCATTTCTGGCCACTAGGTCAAGATTTCCCTCTAAGGTCTGCTTGGTTAGAGCTTCTATGCGGTATATAAAATCTTCTACCGACACAGACGACTGTCCGGAAAAACGCCCCTTCCATCCTGAAATGATCTGCCCAATCCTATCGGGTCTTAATCCGGTAATCTGCTGGGATCCCCAAGCGTTTACCGATGCTCTAGAGTCGTTGGCCTGATTGACTTGGGAACCAAAGGACTCTCGAGCAGGAATTTGAAACAATTGTTCAAATGTTTGGGTTTCTCCACTAGGTATTGAGGCTCCATTAGCTTGGTTAGTGGGAGGAACGGCTGGTTGACTTGCCAAACTTTGGAATCCTACTTCCATTGTCTGAGTCATTTTGGTCATGGCTTGAGACAACAAACTGATCTGAGCCATGGCGTCTGTCAGCGCCTGTGACATTTGAGCCAAGCCTGCGCTGGCGGCATCAGCTGGTTCGCTTCTCGACGCTGGCATTCTGGGTTGAACGACGTTCGAGGGACCAACAGCCAAATCTTCAACAATCTCAGCTGGCTCTGCTCGCAAACCCTGTGAACGGGTTCTCATGGGAGCCTGAGAACAAGGTACGCCAAAGACGGTAGCCTGGGCTACCGCTAATTTCTCAGCTAGGCTAGGACCAGCTGGTTGAAGGGACTCGTTGCAAGCAGGACTCACTGTCTTTGCACCTCGTCTCGTATTAAAACAAGCCAAGTGAAACACGTGATTACATGCAGTTCTTAGCAACTGTGTTTGGTATTCCA